TTTGTGTTAGACTTAAAAACGAACAAATTCTTGCTCATATAACAACTACCGGTACAGGTGGTGAAGTGCTTGAAAAAGTCAATATTTTTAGGAAGGGAAAATGTACAAACATCATTGTGTTCGATGTCCCAAGGGAAATCAAAACAGGAGAAATGACTGCATACGATGAACGTAGCATTCATGCGAGAAGGTTATTAGAATGATGACCCAGAGTTATCATAATGTATGAGGGGGAGATAATCCCCAAAACTATCAAAATGGTTGAGGGCATAGCACTCTTCTGGTGTGCCGTCTACAAATCCCTAACCCCGTTTTGCTCTAATTGCTCAAAGTGGGGCCACGGAACACGTGCTTGTCCACGAGACGCACCTCGATGCCGGTACTGCGCTCTTCAGATTACGCAAAAAAAAATTCCCGAAGAAAAAAATGTCCCTCGGAAATGCGTGAACTGCCGACAAGAGCATAATGCAAATTTTCCATTGTGCGCTTACTACCCAAAGTCAAGAAAACAAATAGTAAAAAAAGCATGCAACCCCCTCCCCACAAAAGTCCCCCCCAGCCCCGTATTTTGATGATGTGGGGGAATTCCCACCTGCAGAGGTCAACAATGATGGCCCCTGCAACGGAAGCCATGGCACCGGCCACAGTACCAGCACCAACAGGGGTTAAAGCTCCGTCAACTCAAGCACCAGCAACAGCTTCAGCACCAGCTGCAGCACTGACCCTAGCACCATCTGCTGCACGAGCTTCAGCATCAGTTACAACACCAGCTGCACCTCAGCCTTCACTGCAGCAGGACAAACAAGAGTCCAGCGGAGAAATAAAGGATCTGCTGTAAAAGGTACTTCGGCAGGTGGAACAGATGATGTTCATGATGCAGCAACAATTGGTGCAGCAATCTCACCTTCAGGAAAGAATGTTCACGCTCCCCCTCGATCAACAACAGCATCTCCTTGTAGTGGGCCTTAGAAATGGTCAGTAATCAATGTATCCAAGTAATACCTTGAAATGTATTACCTGGAACATAAACAGTTTGCAGAAACGCAAAGCAACTCCCTCTCAGTACCTTCACTCTGGAAATGTTGATATGTGTTGCCTTCAGGAAGTCAGAGCTAGTGTCCGTTAGGCAAACTTTGCGGGATGCACATACTATGACACCCAAAATATTACTAATCCATCTACGAGAAGGCTTGGCATTTACATAAGGAACTAAATTCCATGATTGATGGCAATCGTGACAACACCTGTGCTGAATATCGTATTTTTTTACCAGCCAAATGCAGTGATAATAGTACAGCCCTTCAGCCATGTATATAACACTAATGTTTGACTAATAACCCTCCACACAAATAGAGCCAGCCAGTTTGGATAGATGCTTTGGTATCTTACCCTGGCTTTTTGCAGGGCATGTACACTCTTCTGTAAATAAATGTTATCAAATCAAATTAAATATCTCAGTCTCTCTCTCTCTCTCTCTCTCTCTCTCTCTCTCTCTCTCTCTCTCTCTCTCTCTCTCTCTCTCTCTCTCTCTCTCTCTCTCTCTCTCTCTCTCTCTCTCTCTCTCTCTCCCAAAGCCCTAACCTTTATCTTCAATTTACTCCACTCCTCTCCACCCTCTCTCTTTGAAATATGACCATAGTTATAATCTCAATTTACTTTTGCCTTTTATCAACCACCTTTTCATCCACGCCTTCCTCCTCTCTTTCTTTTATTTTCACCCCATCTCCTTGTTCTTTTTCGACCCTTTCTAAATATTCCCTCTCCTCCTTTTTATTTACTTTCTTCAGTTCCTTTTTGTCTGTTTCATTATCTTGCTCTTTTCTCCCTCCTTCCCCTCCTTCTTATCTCTTTCCCTTCCTCTTGCCTTTCCAACTCTTCTCCTTTTGTCTCTCTCTACCTTCTTCTCTCCATCCCTCCTCTCCCTTCACTCCTTCCCACTCCCACCCCTTCCTACCTACCCTCTTTCCCTCCTTATACCACTCCCCTTCCCTCCTGCCCACTCTCCCTCCTTTCTTGTACTACCCTCCTATTATCTTCCCTCCTCTCCTTCTTCCCACCTTACCTTCCCTCATTCCCTCATTCCCTCTGTCCTCCACCTTCCCTACCTCCCCTTCCCTCCCTCCCGTCCCTTCTCCCCTCCTTCCTACCTTACCTTTCCTCCTTCCCTCTGTCCCCCACTTTCCCTTCCTCCCCTCCTCCCTTCCTTCCCTCCCCTTCCCTCCCCTTCCCTCCTCCTTTCCCTTCCCACCTCCCCTCCTCCCCTCCTCCCTCCCTCCCTTCCCTCCTTTCCCACCTCCCCTCTTCCCCTCCTTTCCGTCCTCCCTTCCTTCCCTCCCTTCCCACCTCCCCTCCTCCCCTCCCTTACATCCTCCCCTCCTTCCCATCTCTCCTCCCCTCCTTCCCTACCTCCCCTTCCATCCCTCCCTTCCTTCCTCCCCTCCCCACCGTCCCCCACCATCCCCCCCCCCCTGCCTTACACCCTCCTCGCCACCTTTACAGAATGAAGATCGCCCTGTGTAAGAAACAGCCCAAGAAACCTGCCAAATCTCTCGACGACTCAGTGTACTGGAAGAGATTCGCCAACAAGAGGGGCGGACTCTCGGCAGCGACTCCTTCTGCGTGGCCGATGGGGTCCCTCGTGCCCGAGTACGAGGACGAGGTGAGAGACCTGCTGGGGGAGCCGGGGGGAGGGGGGAGGGGGTAGTATAGGGGTAGGGTGGTATTTCTTGTACGAGTAGTAGCAGTAGTAGTATAGTAGTAGCAGTTGTAGTAGTAGTAGTAGTAGCAGCAGAAGTAGTAGTAGTAGAAGTAGTAGTAGCAGTGGTAATAGTAGTAGTACTAATAGTAGCAGCAACAGAAGTAGTAGTAATAGCAGTAGTAGCAGTAGTAGTAGTAGTACTAGTAGAAGCAGTAGTAGTAGTAGTAGTAGTAGTAGTAGTAGTGGTGGTAGTAGTAGTTTTAGTAGTAATAGTAGTAGTAGTAGTAGTAGTAGTAGTAGTAGTAGTAGTAGTAGTAGTAGTTATAGTAGTAGTAGTAGTAGTAGTAGTAGTTATAGTAGTAGTAGTAGTAGTAGTAGTAGTAGTAGTAGTAGTAGTTATTAGTAGTAGTAGTAGTAGTAGTAGTAGTAGTAGTAGTAGTAGTAGTTATAGTAGTAGTAGTAGTAGTAGTAGTAGTTAGTAGTAGTAGTAGTAGTAGTAGTAGTAGTAGTAGTTATAGTAGTAGTAGTAGTAGTAGTAGTAGTAGTTATAGTAGTAGTAGTAGTAGTAGTAGTAGTAGTAGTAGTTATAGTAGTAGTAGTAGTAGTAGTAGTAGTAGTAGTAGTAGTAGTTATAGTAGTAGTAGTAGTAGTAGTAGTAGTAGTAGTTATAGTAGTAGTAGTAGTAATAGTAGTAGTTATAGTAGTAGTAGTAGTAGTAGTAGTAGTAGTAGTTATAGTAGTAGTAGTAGTAGTAGTAGTTATAGTAGTAGTAGTAGTAGTAGTAGTAGTAGTTATAGTAGTAGTAGTAGTAGTAGTAGTAGTAGTAGTAGTAGTAGTAGTAGTAGTAGTAGTTATAGTAGTAGTAGTAGTAGTAGTAGTAGTAGTAGTAGTAGTAGTAGTAGTAGTAGTAGTAGTAGTAGTAGTTATAGTAGTAGTATAGTAGTAGTAGTAGTAGTAGTTATAGTAGTAGTAGTAGTAGTAGTAGTAGTAGTAGTAGTAGTAGTAGTAGTAGTAGTAGTAGTAGTAGTAGTAGTAGTAGTAGTAGTAGTAGTTATAGTAGTAGTAGTAGTAGTAGTAGTAGTAGTAGTAGTAGTAGTAGTAGTAGTAGTAGTAGTAGTAGTAGTAGTAGTAGTAGTTAGTAGTAGTAGTAGTAGTAGTAGTAGTAGTAGTAGTAGTAGTAGTAGTAGTAGTAGCAGCAGCAGCAGTAGTAATAGTAGTTGAATTTGGAGAGAGGAACGAACGAGAATGAATGACTTTCATAATGCAGGAGATGTAGTGCGGGAATTCCGCTTGAATATTCACGAGAATTGTATATCTTTCGCGTAAGTCTGATGGATATTTGATCGGAATTTCTCATTTTTTATTATACTTTGCAATTATCTATTTATCTACCTATCTGTTTACATGAATATATATATATATATATATATATATATATATATATATATATATATATATATATATATATATATATATATATATATAAAATTCTTATATCCATACTTAAGTAAGAATCTAAGAATACGTATACAACTCCCCATACGTGAGTTATTCATTAGCACGGAATTTTTTTTTTTTGTTTGTTTCTTTACCTTCCTGCACATTCCCCTTGGACCTCCTCCCCCACCTACTCCCCCTTCCCCAACACCCCCCGCTCTGATCTCCCCCCTCCCCCCCTCCCCCCCTCCCTTTCCTTACTCCTTTCTCCACCCCATTTTCTCACACCCTCCCCTACTCCCTTCCCCCAACCCTCTCTTTCCTGCATACCGTCCCATCTACACCTATTCGCCGTCTCCTTCCCCCTGCCCCCTCCCCCGACCCCCTTTTGCTTCCCCTTCCCACTTAATTATCTTTCCCATACACCTTTCCCTCACCCTTCCTCCACCTCCCTTTCTCTACACCCTTCGCGCCCCTTTCCCCCAACACTTCCCTCCACGCCCTCCGCCTGCACCCTATACCACCCTCTCCTCCACCTCTCTCCCCAACACCCCCTTCCCCCCCTTCCCTTCACGCCCTCCCCTTGCACCCTACACCACCCCCTCCTCCACCTCCCTCTCCAAAACCTCTTCCTCCCCTCCCCCCCCCCAAACCTTCCCCAACACTCCCCCCCCCCCAGCCCGAGAAGGAGGAGCAGGAGGTCCAGATCGAGCTGACGTCGACCTTCAGCCAAGTGACGAGCGAGGTGCGCTACAACTACGTCAGCAGGGCCTTCGAGCAGGTGGTGGAGCGCGACTCTCTGCTGAGCCTGCTGGAGCTCCCGTCGAAGGTGCTGAGGAAGGACGAGGCGAGGGGGGGCGTGGCGAGACTCTGTAGGCCTACCTCGCCGGAGTCTGTGGGTGAGTTGGAGGGTGGAAGGGGAGGGGGGAGGGAGGAGGGAGGAAGGAGGAGGAGGGGCGGAGGGTGAAGGAGGGAGGGGGAGAAGGGACGGAGGGGGAGGAGGGAGGAAGTGGGGAGAGGAAGGGAGAGGGGGTAGGAAGAAGATGGAGGTAGGGAAGAGGGGATAGGAAGGGGAAGAAGGGGGGAAGGGAGAGAGGATAGGAAGGGGAGGAAGGGGAAAGAGGGAGGAAGGGGAAAGAGGGAGAGACCTTGTCTCTACGTACTAATTATTCTATATCTGTCTATTTTTCGTTACATATATATGTCTTTTGTCGATATATAGATTTACATATTATATACATCGCTCCATACTTAAAAATGCTCTTAACTAAACCACATTTCCTACCCTTTTCCCCTTACCCCCTCCCTCAATCTCCCTTGCCCCATGTCCCCTCTATCCTCACCCCCCTCCTCCTCCCACCTTCTCCTCCATCCTCATCCCCTTCCACTCCTCCTTACCCCTTTCCCCTCCATTCTCATCCCCTTCCCTTCCCCTTCATCCTCACCACCTCATTCCCTCCCCCCTCCCCCCTCATTCCCTCCTCCTCCTCCATCCCCACCCTTTTCCCTCCCCCTCCCACCTTCTCCTCCACCCCCCCTTACCCCCCTCACCCCCCTCACCCCCCCCCCTCACCCCCTCCGCCTCCCGAAGACTCTGACCTGGACGAGGTGGTAGACAACTCCCGGCGGGCGATGGAGGAGCTCTACGGCGGCACTGTGTCCAAGGAGGAACTGGCTCGCATCGACGCCCAGCCGAACCCCTTCAACTTCAGCGACCGCGTTTCCCTGACGACCAAGATTCCTATGAAGGTTGGTTAATGGGGGGGGAGGGAGGGAGGGGGGAAGGAAGGAGAAATAAGAAGGGAAGGGGAGGGAAGAGCACAAGGGGGGGAGGGGAGAGGGTAGGGAGGGAGGGAGAGGGGAGGGAGGAGGGAGAGGGAAGTAGGGAAATGGAAGGGAGAGGAAGGGGAGGGGGAAGGAAGGAAGAAGTGAAGGAGGGAGGGAGGGAAGAAGGGAAGGGATAGGGAGAGGGTAGGGGGGAAAGAGGGAAAGAGGGAGGAGGGAAGGGAAAGGACTGAGGAAAGCTGTGTTGAGGGTAGGGGGAAAGGGTGTGTGTGTTTGTGTGTATGATTACACACACACACACACACACACACACACACACACACACACACACACACACACACACACACACACACACACACACATATATATATATATATATATATATATATATATATATATATATATATATATATATATATATGTGTGTGTGTGTGTGTGTGTGTGTGTGTGTGTGTATGTGTGTGTGTGTGTGTGTGTAATTATACACCCACCCTTCCTTAATGCACTTCCCCTTACCCTATCTTATTATCTATCTTATATATTTCATCTATCAACCTATCTACCTTTCTCTCTAAATATATCTTCACTTCCTTCTCCCTCTCTCTTTCCCTCATTCTCTTTTCTTCCCATTTGTCACTTCTTTCCTCTTCTGTCTCTTTTAGAACGATAAAAGCTACATAATAACGAATAATCTCTTGTCGAGTTTCAGAGATGTGCACAGATGATGATGGCGTCTGAGCCGGCGCTGATTTGCCTTCCGGAAACAGGGCATCATCTTGGGATTAGAGTCTTGGGCGTTTGACCTAGATTAGAGGGTTGTTTCCCTGTATAAATGTGTGTGTGTGTTATGTATATATATATATATATATATATATATATATATATATATATATATATATATATATATATATATATATATATATATATATATTTCATATATAGATATATCTATGAAATATATATAAATAAATATATATATATATATATATATATATATATATATATATATATATATATATATATATATATATATATATATATATCACATATATTTAATATACATACCCCCTACCCACCACCCCTTACCTCCACCCATCCCCCTCCCCCTCCAGGACGTCGCCCTCCAGACCGACCCGCCTCCGAGCACGAGGTTCAGCTCCTCCGTCAACGCCTACGCCGTGTACCTCGCCTACGACCAAGACCAGACGCGAATCCGGGAGAGGGAGAGGAAGAGACAAGAGAGAGAGAAGGAGAGAGACAGAACCACTAAACGAGTAAGGTAGATGTAAGGTTAAGAATAAATTAAGATTTTTTTTTGTGTGATTAGTGTTATTGTTGTGATTGTCGTTATTATTTTCATTTTAGATTTCATTATTATCATCATATTTATTATTTTATTGGTGCTATTATTGTTATTTTCATTATCTTTATTATTATCGTTATTATTATTATTATTATTATCATTATTATTATTATTGTTATTATTATCATTATTATTATTATCATTATTGTTATTATTATCATTATTATTATTATTATCATTATCATTATTATTATTTTCAGTATCACGGAGGTCCAGTGCGTAGTCATAGTGCAATGATATGTATAACTGTATGGATATGAATTAACATTCCAATATTTAATTCAACAATTTTGTATATATATATATATATATATATATATATATATATATATATATATATATATATATATATATATATATATATATATATATACATATATATATATATATATATATATATATATATATATATATATATATATATATATACATATATATATATATATATATATATATATATATATATATATATATATATATATATATATATATATATATATATATATATATATATGCAGATAACTCTTTCTTTTACTCCATCTTTACTTTCTTCTCCCCTTCCTCCTCCTCCTTTTCTTTCCTCTTTTTGGTCCCTTCTTACTTCCTTCCTTCTTATTCTGTTTCCTCTCCTCTCCGTCCCTTCTCCACACTCCCTTGTCCTCTTAACCTTTTTTGCCTTCCTTTCCCTCTTTCTTTCCTCTTCCTCTGCCGTTCTCTCTGGTTTTCTCGTGACTTCTCCCTTTTTCTCCTTCTTCCTTTTCTTCTTTCTTACCTCTCTCTTCTTTCTTATCTCCCCTCCCTTTCTTTATCCCTCCTACCTCTATTTTTTCTCCACTTCTCTACCTCCTCCTTCGCCCCCTTTCCACCCCTATTCTCTCTCCTTTCTTCTTCCCTCCTTCCCTTCTTCTCTCTCCTCTCTTCTTCCCTCCCCCCCCACCCTCTCCACCTCCCTTCTCTCTCCTCTATTCTTCCCATCTCCACCCCTCTTCTCACTCCTCCCCCCTTCCCTTCTCCCTTCCCTCTTCTTCCCTCCCTCCCCCCTCCCCACCTCCCTTCTCCACCTCCTTTCTTCCGTTCCCCCCTCTCCACCCCTCTTCTCTCTCCTCCCATCTTCCCCTCCTTCCCTCCTTCTCCTTTCCTTTTTCTTCCCTCCCTCCCTTCCTCTTCACCCCTCTTCTATCTCCTCCCTTCTTCCCCTCCTTCCCTTCTTCTCCCTTCCTTCTTCTTCCCTCCCTCCCCCCTCTCCACCCCCCCTTTTCTCTCCTCTCTTCTTCCCCTCCCCCCTCTCCACCCCACCATTCTCTCTCCTCCCTTCTTCCCCTCCATCCCTCCTTCTCCCTTCCCTCTCCTTCCCTCCCTCCCCCCCCCTTTCCACCTCCCTCCCCCCCTCTCCACCCCCCTTCCCCCCCGAGGTCCAAGACCCGGTGACAATCCTGAGCACCTCGAAGCCGAAGCCGAGGCACCCCGAGCCGCTGGACCTGCCTGGGCTGCCGAGAGTCGCCAAGGTGCTGGAGAGGATGGTCGCGCAGAATATATATGATGACATCGCGCAAGGTTTGTTTTTGGTGGTGGTGAATGTGGTGGTGGTTGTGGTGGTGGTTGTGATTGTGGTGATTGTGGTGGTGTATTTGCGCGAGTTTTATATTCTCTTGGTTTGGTTTTGCTGGTTGAGTTAGTTACTGCTGTCAAATTGAATAAAAATGGATACACATACAACACTCTTTCTCTCTCTCTCTCTCTCTCACATACACACACACACACACACACACACACACACACACACACACACACACACACACACACACACACACACACACACACACACACACACACACACACACAACCCCACAATTCTCCCCTCCCCCCTCCCCCTTAAACACCCACCCTCCCCTCACACACAAACCTCCCCCCCCCCTTCCAGACTTCAAGTTCTGGGAGGACGCGAGCGACGAATACCACCCCCTCGAGGGCTCCCTGCTCCCCCTCTGGAAGTTCAAGTACGAGCATTCCAAGTCGCTGCTCGTGTCGGACATCTGCTGGAGCCCCGTTTACGCAGACCTCTTCGCTATCTCGTACTTGTCGTCAGGTAGGTGTTCAGAGAGGGTTTTGTTGTGTGGGATTCTTGGTTTCATTGTTGTTGTTGTGTGTTAGTGTTATTATTGCTGCGATTGTTGTTATCATGATTATTGTATTTATTATTAAAGTTGTTGTTGTTGTTGTTGTTATCATTATTTCATTATTATTATTGTTATTATTATTATCATTATTCTATTGTTATTATTATCATTATTGTTATTATTATTATTATCATTGTTATTATTATTATTGTTATTATTATTACTATTATTATCATTATAATTAGTATTACTGTTGTTGTTGTTGTTCATGATCATTACTCTCACCATTATCCTCAATGTAATTCTCATCATCATCATTGTCATTCTCATCACCATTGTCATCTTCATTATCACCATTCGCATTATCGACACCATGAACCATAACCATCATCACCATCACCACCATAACCATCATCACCACCACCATCACCATCACCGCCATCACCATCATCACCACCACTATTACCCTCGCCATCACTCCATCACCATCATCACCATCACCACCATCACCATCACCACCCTCATCACAACGCAGGAGTGGACGGCGGAGGGGAGGAAATGGGCGGGATGCTGTGCCTTTACACCCTCAAGAGTCCGTCGACGCCCGAACGAGTCTTCCGCACGCCCTTCGGAGTCGTCACGGCCAGGTTCCACCCTCAGGTAGGCCTTGAAGGGGGGAGGGGAGATTGTAGGGGGGAGGGAAAGGGGGGAGGGGAGGAATAGAAGAGAGTAAGAAAAGGGGAAATATGTTCAAGGAACGGGTTGTTAGTGATGTTTTTATAGTTATTATTGGCTTCCTTGTCACCGTTATTATTAATATCACTATTGCTATTATATTTAATGGAATGATCAGTGTTCTAAATGGCATGTGTGTTCACTTATGATTTCCTTCTCACCCCCCTCCCTTTGTACCCATCCTACCCTCTATCCATCGCCCCCCCCCCCCGTTGCCCCATCTCTCTCCCCTCCCCTCCCTTTCCCCTTTACCCTTTTCTCCTCCCCATCCCATCTCCCCCACCCCTCCCCCTTACCCCCTCTCCTCCCCCTCACCAACCCATCTTCCTTTACCCCTTTCCCTCTTCCATCCCCTTACCCCCACCCATCCCCCTCCCCATCCCCTCCCTTACCCACCCACCCTCCCCTCTCCCCTTACCCCCTTCCTTCCCCTCCCCCACTACCTTCCCCCTCCCCAACCCCCTCCACAGCACGGCAGCATGCTGGTGGCCGGGCGGACCGACGGCTCCGTGGTCGTGTATGACGTCACGGCCCCGCAGCACGCCGCTGCCATCTGCTCGTCGGCGGTCAAGGGGAAGCACCTCATGCAGGTCACTCAGGTACGAGGGGAAAGGGTGAGGGATCAGGGGTAAGGTTGATGTATGAGGTATGAGGGGAAGGTTTGGTGTATGAGGCATGAGGAGAAGGTTTGGTGTATGAGGCATGAGGGGAAGGTGTGATGTATGAGGCATGAGGGGAAGGTGTGATGTATGAGGCATGAGTAGAAGGTATCAACGCCATAACTGCTATGACAAAACACGCTAATGTTACCGTCGCTATTACCATGGCCATCTCCGCCCTCCAAGTAACGCCCGACTGCCTCCCGACCCTTCAGGTAAGATGGGTTCGCACGCAGCCGGGGGAGGAACTCAGCTTCTTCTCCGTGTCCCTGGACGGCCGAGTGACGCAGTGGCACCTCCACTCCGCCTGTCTGGTTCACAGGGACGTCCTCGACTTCGCCTCCTGCAGACAGCCCACCAAGCCGCACTCTTCGTCGGATAAGGTGGTTTTGGAAGGTGGGAAGGAGTTTCTTTTTATAATTCTTTTTTTTTTAACTGATTTTGATATTGGTACCTTCGTCGGATAAGGTGGTTTTGGAATGTGGGGAGATTTTTTTCTCTTTATTTTTCATTTTTAAATCTTATTTTTACTTATTTTGAGATTGGTAACCTCCGTCAGATAAAATGTTTTTAGAAGGTGTAGGGTATTTTTTCTTTTACTTGTTCTTACTGCAGTAAAAATATAATGAAGATTTTGAGATCGATCCCTTGTCGAATAACGTGGTCTTAGAAGGCGAAAAGCATGTATTATCACTGTTACTGGTTATTTCTTCTGTAAAAAGTGATCATAAAGGTATGACAGAGCTTGACATCGCCAGACAGAACAAAAGCCATTTCTTCGGATAATGTGGTTCTGAAAGAAAAAAAAATGTTTTCAATAGTTATAATGACAGCTTCTTGGAAGGAGAATAATCAACATTTTTCTTTCCCGTGTCTTCTTCTTTCTTCTTTTTCTTAGGAGAGATGCATTTCATTTTTTTCCTATTTTTGTCTTTATGGATAATGCCTTGATCTTTCCTTCGTTTTTTTCTGTTTTCTTCTCCTCGTGTTCTTCTTTTCTTCTTCTCCTCCTCCTTCTTCGACTTCTTCTCATTCTTCCTCCTCCTCCTCTTCTCCTCTTCCTCCTCCTCTTCTCCTCTTTCTCCTCCTCCTCCTCCTCCTTCTTCTTCTTCTTCTTTTCTTCTTCTTCTTCTTCTTCTTCTTCTTCTTCTTCTTCTTCTTCTTCTTCTTCTTCTTCTTCTTCTTCTTCTTCTTCTTCTTCTTCTTCTTCTTCTACTACTACTACTTCTTTTTCTTCTTCTTCTTTTTCTACTCCTTCTCCTTCGTCTCCTTGATAATTATCTAGTAATTCATAATGAATATTTCAAATGGAATGATGTTATCCAGCCATCACGAACCCCTAAAGTGCATTTTTTTCAGAATAAGAATAAATATTATGCTGTCTTGTCGCTGAAAACATAAATCTCATGCATTTATATTTTAAGAGCAAATTCTATATAACATAATTTCAGGATTTATGTATTCTCATAATTCAATATATATCTAGTGTTCTCAAATAACATTCTGACTATATTTATAGAAAGTCTACGGTGTTACCCGCCATAGTTCAGTTCACATTGTCAATAAATTGTTGACGTAATACATCGACGAACAAAAATCACAGTGCAGCATCTCATTTTTCATACGTATCAAAGAATTTCCTTTGAAAAATCCTTTCGCTGCACTGCCTGGATAAACCAAATTTCATAAGTACACTACAAACTGATTTCATATTTTATTTGGATATCATTGTATTCTACTAAACCCCACAAATGCACCACAAACGAACTTAATTTCCCTTTGCTTTGTTTATCGTTCCATAATACTTTACCGCAAATACACCACCGACATATTTCACATTCCATTTTACTTCAAAATCGATACACAACAAACTGATTCCTTTTCCATTTCCCTCACTCCTTCGCCCATGTCTCTCCCCCCTCCCCCCCACCAGGAGCGGCCACCTGTATAGACTTCCGCCCCGACCACGAGAATATAATGCTTCTGGGAACGGACACAGGGGCGGTTTTCCAGTGCTCCGTCGCCTCCACCACCCACACCCTCTTTCGCTATCCCGCCCACACGTCCCCCGTCAGACAGGTGTCCTGGAATTCGCACCACCACGGGATCTTCGTCACGTGCTCTCTCGACTGGATGGTCAAAGTGTGGCAGTATGAGTTTGTGTGCGTAGATTTGTTTTTCTTTTTTCCTTTTTCTGTTCTTCTCTCTTTAGGGGGGTTGGGGGTCGTGGGTGGGGTGGGGGTGGGAGGGAGGGAGGGGGAAATGTTGTCTCTTCTAAATTATGTTTCTGTTTGTATCTTATCTTCTTGTCTATTTTTAATTGGCTATCTTGCCTGTCCGCTCTTTTTTATCTCATAGGTTATTTCCCTCTCTATACATGATATACATAGCTCTACTTAAACCTATCTCCATAGATATAGCATCTACCATTATACCACTCCCCCCTTCTCACCCCCCTCCCCCATTCCCACAGCTCCCCCCTCATCCAGCTGGACCTCGGCGGCGCGGTGGCTGGGGTGACTTGGACCCCACACAGCAGTAGCGTCTTCGTTGCGGTGACTGACGAGGGGCGTGTACACGTGTACGACTTGCATGTACGTAAATGCCATCCTCTGTGCGTACAGGGCGTGGTTCAGAAGAAGAGGGGCGTGGTCACCTGTATCGCCTTCAGTCCCTTTCATCCCGTTATCCTTGTGGGCGGAGACAGGTGGGTTTGATGGGCGTGGTCTGGGTGGGTGGTTTTGTGTAGGTATAGCGCGGTGTGTGTATATGAAGCGGTATTTTATAGCGTGTGGGTTGATGGGTATGATATGGTATGTTATGATTCTGAGCATGTTGTATCCATTAGCAGGAATAATGAATTATTTCATTTTTTAAGCAAGTTGCATATGTGGTGAGGTATGGTTGATGTATTCTATGGTGTGGTGCAGTTGGTAAGAAGCTGGTTTCTGTATTGTGTTGTATTGTATACTGTGGTTAATAGGATTTTTTTGCGTTTTGAGTATTGTGGACAGGTATTTTTGTAAGGTTGTGACGATTGCTAGTAAGGAGTATGGCATGTTATGGTTGTATGGTTAGGGTGGTGTACCTATGGTAGAGTCTGGCAAGATATACTGTGATTACTGTAGCATCGTGTGGTGTGTCTGTTTGTTTGTCGCATTCTCTATTACATAAGGATTAGTATGGTGAAGGGGCTAATAATGTTGTGGTATAGTATGGTGCATAGGTGGCACAACTCAGTGGTAGAGCACTGGCTTTACAATTGCAAGGTCCTGGGTTCGCGCTCGGCCACCGCCCCTCTCAGTCGACTCAGCTGTGAATGAGTACTGATATCCTGGCGTCAGTATGTTGGAGTCAAAATCCGGCCGGAAAGGAACTGGTCACCCTACCGCGTCATACTGCGACTTAGTAAGCATGTTTCTCTGCGAACATGTCCCCTACGTCCACATGGATTTGGGACTAACTTTGACAGTATGGAGTGGACTGGTATATTCGGTAAGTTGACGTATAATTGTAATATTTTTGGTAAGTGATCTGATATGGTGTGGCATATTTGATAGGATGCTATAGTTTAGAATAATGTGATATAACTGATAATTCGTGACGTGGCTTTGTATCTTTGGTAAGTTACACTATGGTATATAATTGGCATGGTATGGTATAGTATAATTGGCATGGTATGGTTCGATATGATGCAGTAAAACAGGAATTATCAGAACACTGGATATTTTTTCTTCTTTTTTTTCTCTTTGATATATTATGTTACAGTTTGGTATGCCTGGTATGGTTTATAGGTTGCGATGTATGTATGGTACTTGCTGGGTAGGCTCTGACGTATATATACACTGATCTCTAAAGTCTTACACGATCGACTTGTTGTGACAATGACATCACTGCGTATCACAAGAAAATGGAATAGCATATTTCATTTTTCTCGTAGAGTTAGATGGCGCAGTTCGTGACGCAGTGATGACGTCACCGTGTTATAAGGGCTTTTCACGTGCTCGAAGTTACGATCGGGATAACACAGCGTAGAGACAATGCACGGTAGAAAGTCGTTCGTCTTTTCGGGAAATAAAAAGAGAGAGAGAGAGAGAGAGAGAGAGAGAGAGAGAGAGAGAGAGAAGAGAGAGAGAGAGAGAGAGAGAGAGAGAGAGAGAGAGAGAGAGAGAGAGGCGGAGATGGAGAGAGAGAAAGTGAGAGAGA